TTGCTAAAATAGGTAATACATTCTAAGACAAAATAAATCGATCTGACCTCATCTTAATATAGAGCACAAAGACAAATTGATCTTAGAAATTTCTTGCAAAATTGCTAGAAATAGTATATATAAGAAGTTAATACATAGTTCAGGAGTCAACAAAAATCAGGAAAAAAGAAGGGATTGTTCAAAAGCTGGCAATGGAACAACTGTTTAGCAATTTGGAAAAAATAAAGTTAAAGCCTTACTTGAAGCCAATTATCAAAGTCATTTCCAGATGAAAAATAGAATTAAATAGAAAATTAACCCAGGAAAAATAAGTAGAAGCTATATATAATTTGGGAAGAACCAGGCACATACTAAATGCATGACCCTGGGTAAGGCACTCAAAATCCTTTTCTTTTGTATTAGATGAATAGTGGTACCCATGTCAAGGTCCTAAGGTGAGGTACAAATAAAATAATGTATATAATGCAACTTCCACACAGCAATGGTTCAATAATTGTTAACCAGATTATAATTCCTAATATTATTTTCATGCTTAAAAACAAAAGAAAAATCATACAGGGAAGATTGATAGATAAGATTAAATAATTTTAAAAATATAAAATAAATAAGAGTTAAATAAGGAGAAAATTGTTTCTAACTAATATATTTAGCATGTTATTTATTGTTATATTATTGTATTTTTTATCTTATCTTAACCATGCAATATTAGCCATTTAAAAGCTCTAAGACTACAAATGGACAAAGTATACAAACACATAATTCATAAAAGAAATACAGATGCCTAATGAATATGTAAGAATATTCAATTTTGAAAAGGTATTTTTATCTACTGCTATTGAAATTACAAATTATCATCATGTTCTAAATAAACAATTTAATTATATGTATCAAACTTCAAAAAGACATTAAAATTCACTAATTTTAATTTTATAAAAAATCAGTCTTACTAAACAGACTAAAATTAAAACAATAATTTTATGTACATTTGCTAATTGAAGAATTACTTATAGCAAAATCCTGAATCTGCACACATATGGCAATGATTTAAATAGAGTGTAAACTTATGACAGAATATTATTTTCAAGAATTCTATGAAAGAATTTATAATAACATAGGAACATTTTAATGCTATAACTGTAACTGAAAAAAAAAGCATGTTATGCAATTGAACATATAGCGTGAACCTTACAAAACAATATAAATGAGAGGAAACAATAGTAAATGTTAATGGTAGTTATGACTGTGTGGATGGATTGTGAATAAATGTCCCATTTCTGTTCTTTATTTTTTAAATTTTCTGTAATGTACATGTTTTACTTTAAACATCACAAATATAAATTTATTTAAACAGACATGTATTATCCTATAGAGAAAAAAATTCCTGTTGACTTCCCAGTTGAATGCTTTAAAGTCTTGGTTCAAGAAGGGAATGCGAGGGTAAGACCTGAGAACACCATGGAGCACAGCATGGTCATGTGCTAGCTGATCTCCAGCAAAACCGCCAGGGAAACCGTTTCCCCTTTGCGTTCGTGTGAGGTTCTAGAATCAATTATAACTAATTTAGTCAAAGGAAAGGAACACAAATATTTAAGGATGTAGTGATTTTCCTCTAATTTTCTTGAACTTCACTTTTAAATTCTGATTTTTTTTTTAGTTTCTTACCAATGAAATGTCACAAAAGTGACAAATAAGCAAATAAAAAAGAGAAAATGAGATTTAGCCACAGAGCCATAAATTAAAATTAAACATTGTCAAATTTGAATGTCTTTCCTGAGGTCTTTTTACATTATTGCCTAAGAGGAAAATAATTCCTGTTTCTGCAAAATTCATAAAATGTGGACAACAATAGGGAAAATGAGACATAATTTTATATGATATGATCTCACTCCAGGGGCCAATAGTAGCTGCCTGTCCTCTAGGTTAAAACGAAATCACTTTTAAGAACAAAATCACACCCAACACAGTGTATGGTTATCTAGAGTAAAAGTGCGCGTGATGATAAATACCTTTAGTAATTTGGCAAGCACAACATGGACCTATTTAGTGCCTGTATTTGCTACCTGTCACAACCGAATACCGCTTGTGCCAGAACTCACTTGGGAAACAAGTCAGCTGAGACACGTGGAGAAGGCTTCATGCTGTAGAAGACAATGCATATTGTGCTGCCTCCCCCCAGGTACGTGACTTTGTGGACGCTCAATGTGTGCGTTCACATCTTTATAATGATGTAACGCTAGCATCACTGAGAGATCTAATGAGTTTACATAGGTGGTAATGTCCACCAGTGTAGGGAATGTATAATATCAGTTGCAAAATAAATGTTAGGTTAAAACCCTTCCTTACCGTTTTGTTCCTATAACTTAGGGTGCTAAGTTGATGCACTTAGTCTTTGGACAGATTTAGACTTTGTCTCATTATAAGATGATACGGATAAAAATGTGGTAGCAATAACAGGAGTTGAATTGAAAGGCTAACTGATCAAAAGTGTCATAAGTAGAGATAATGTCTATTTCATGACAGTATCATCAGCTCAGTGGGGACTGTGAATGAATTGGTGGAACTTGCATTGGAAAATCATGCTAAGGGTAAGTAAATTCTCAATAGAAATTCAAGGAGTAGCTAGAAAAGGAATGCGAGCTAGCCAAGGAATACCCAAGAAACCATGTCTTGCGTTTATTCTTTTTTTGCTTCTTCTTTTTTTTTTTTTTTCCTTGAGACAGAGTTTCACTCTGTCTCCCAAGCTAGAGTACAGTGCTGTTATCATAGCTCACAGCAACCTCAAACTCCTGGGCTCAAGCGATCCTCTTGCCTCAGCTTCCCAAGTAGCTGGAACTACAGGTGTACACCACAATGCCCAGCTAATTTTTCTGTTTTTAGGAGAGATGGGGTCTTGCTCTTACTCAGGGTGGTCTTCAACTCCTGAGGTCAAGCGATCCTCCCGCCTTGGCCACCTAGGATTACAGGCGTGAGCCACCGCACCTGGCCATCTTCATGTGCTTATTCTTTGAGGCATTTTGAAAGCCAATGTATTCATCAAAGCTCCCTGAGTAAAATAAACCACTCGGGCTAGTTCTCTAAACAAGGCATTACCATGATAAGAACGATTATCATATCTTGTGGGTCAGGAGAGTAAACTTTGTGAAAAGTTAAGTTGCAGAAAAATACATCCTATGTGATTTCATGTATAAAAGTTCAAAAATAGACGAAATTAAACATGATGCGCTTGAAAGACACATGCTTGTGTATTCACAACTATAAAGAAAAACAAGGTATGTTGGCTGCACAAATTGTGGGTTTGAGGAGGAATCTTCCATGGGATGAAACCACACAGCTCCATGGTACTGAATTTTCTGCAGATGCACAGTCTCCAGGTTGGGACCAGGAAATACTTGGAAATTTCTCTGCCAAGCTGAGTTCTCTTTAGTCCTGAAATAGGAGGTGCTGAGCCTATAGGTTTCCAGCCATCAGTTAAGAATGGCAGAGTCAGGCAGCAATTTTACTGTTTATAGCATTTTCCTGTTTGCAGGCTACATGTGGTTAAGCACCTAAGTCCTGGAGAATGACTACCTGTGTTCAAAACTTGACTCTGACCAGCTAACTGAGTGACTCTAGGAGAACTGTGCATGTTTCCTGCATTGTTTGATGGAAATAATGATGACAAATACTATCCTAGACTTGTGAAAATTATATACACTATTGTAGGTAAAGTCACTCATGGACTGCATGGAGCATAACATTAACTATTACTATTATTACTATTATTAATAGACTAAGTAACATGGGAATACTCCTTTGGATAAACTCAATCTGATACAAAATTAAAATAATATTTCAGCATGAGAAATATATTGTCGTAAGAAGATTCAATATTTGTATTAACAAATAAGGAAAAGTACAAGTAGTTCTGAGGGAGTTGAAATACCTCGACACATTTGGTTGGCATCTCAGCAGGTCTATCAAAGATGAGAAATCGATACCACCCGGGGGAGAGGGAATGGTCACATATCAGTTCTTGAGCAGCTGACTGCTGGAGGTGCAATGAGTCAAAACGGACATTTCTATACGGACTCTGAAGAAACTGGTGTCCCCCAGGAGAGCATTCCTGAGCTAGGAAGGAAAGACAAGTGTTTTTATATAATGTGTTTTGTTAGTTGACTTAGTTCAGTCCTCAATTAGAATTGGTACCAAAAATAAAAATAAAGCAAATAAACCCACTATTGCACACAGAGACCATCTGAAATGTCAGAGTCTCTTAGTAAGTCAAAGGTGACAATTTGCACTTATAAATACAATAAACAAATCAAAACTCTTCAGAATGTGTTTTTGAGGTACATTAGCTTTAACAACTTTATTTTCATTTAATTTGAACAACCAATAGAGATGGTTGCTCTTGTGTTAGGATTTGTGTATTCTGACCACCTCCAGTCACAGGCCCTGCAAGGATTCCTCTTAACCCTGGGCCTCCAGATCTGAATGCCATTACGGATACCAAGTTGAGCCAATGACTGAGCAATCACAAATACAAAGCAATCCTACACAGTTTATTACAGAAAAGAAAGAAATTATACAAAGTGACAGTAAAAAAGGAAACTCCCCAAAGTGAAAATATGTTCCACAGAGAGAAACGGATCAGTATCCACACGTGTAAAAAGACATAAGGACTCCCAGGTGGTTTCCTTTTATTGGCCTGGTCCCGGGGAGGGCTTACGGGAAGTGAGGGATAGTACCAAATGATTATCAGGTGTTCTGAATTTTCCTGCAGTCCATTCCCCTGATTGGTTCCTGACTTCTCTGCCGCTAGTAACCACCCTTCTGGCCTACACCTACCACCTGCAGATTTGATCCCTACCTAACATTACTGACCCTCCGCGACCTCCCACAAAGTAGTCAGAACAGTGTATCTCTGCCAGATTCTAGAATGCAATGAATTGAACTAATCTTTTAATGTCAATCTAATTTTCATAAAGTGCCCTCATTCTGAAGTGTTCTGCATTCTTGATGCAGGAAAGAATAAAAAGTTTTTAAACTTTGTTTCTTTCTTTCGTTCTTTCGTTCCTCCCTTGCTCCGTGGATCCCTCCCCCTCTTCCTCCCTTCTTTTAGCTAAGACATTGGAAATCCCTCTTTATTTACTAAGCGCAGGAAAAGGAATGGGGTGGAGGGGAGCAGGTCTGAAAGAAAAATGAGAAAAGACCATGGAGAAAGGAAGAATTCTGTAATTTTTTTGTCTTGTTTTGATTTTTAGGGAAACTTTTTTCTGAGCAGTCTTTGGCCTAGGAGATACTTTTTCTTTCAAATCCACAGAAGCAGAACACAATGCTTCTCTTTTCAGCATTAAAAGAGGAGAGAAGAGTAGGCAGTGAAAACAGAATTATCCTAGACATACAACTCTTGCTTCAGGTGCCTCTCTCTACTACCAATTTACTCAAATAATAAGTACCATGAGGAACTGTCCTTATTTGGGTACCAGGGAATCTTGTTGACACAGTAGCTAGAAAATCTCCAAATACAATATATTTGTTGAAGGAAAACAGTATAATAAAGGTGGTATCTATGAAATAGACATATTAAAGAAACAATTCAATCATTACTCAAGTGTTTCACTGTGGGAAAAAACTTATCTAAAAAAACTCAAAGATTTATTATATAATTTTAAATTATAGAAGTGTTTCTAAACCAAAATCAATTTCTCAAAGTAATAAGGAGTAAAATAGAGGTACTAATTTACAAGTGGACCTCATATGTGTAGCTTATAAAAATTTTCATTATCATTATCACTCTTTTTGCTTTTTATTTTGTTGTTTGTATTTATAGAAAATAGACTGATAAAAGGTATTATTTTTCAAACTGAAAGATCATTTCAAATAAATTTTTTTAGTAAAAGATTTTAGGTTCATCACAACAGGCTTCTCTTTTTGTTTCTGGATCCTCCATGGTTGTAAATTCCCCAAGAATAATTTAACCCAAAAGTCTCCAATAACTTTGACAATCACAATCTGTCAATACCAAATAAATGTTACATAAAATGTGTGCAGATAGAAGTCAGGGGATGTACTATTAATATTATTATATATAATATTGAAATAACTTTAATGTCCTTCAAAATAAGGACATTACACTGGGTTAGAAACTAATAAAAATATTTTTAAAGAGATGACTAATGAGATTTGCGTAAGTTATTAAATTGTTTTCTCTAATCTCTTCTCTATAATACAATTTTGTCTTGGGAAAAAAAGTCAGTAACTCCATCTTTATTTCGTGTAATATTTCTCCATCCTAAGTACCTCTGTAGTTCTCAATTTCCTCTGATTTTGCTGTTTTAAATTGTTTCCTAATCCAAAGCTGAAAATATAATAATTGTAATAGAAATCACTATATCACATCAACAATACTAGAGAACTGTGTAATATTTGAACAGGAAATTTAATTGTATTTATTTATTTTTATTTAATATTTATTTTATAGAATAATTCTTAATTCATATAATTAATAATTGCTCATATTTTTATCTATTATTTCACAGTTTTTTCCTAAAAATCTACTTGTCTCTTTTAGAATGTTCAAGATCTGTGTAGAGAGTTCAAAAATCTTATTAACAATAAACAAACCACACTATAAAATTTTCATTCCATCCTTAGCTCTAGAATGTTATGATATAATTAATTTTGTGAGAATTATAATAATGGTTTGGGCTCCCACTTGGGGATTTGGGGGCTTAACTCTTCAAATATTAAAAGAATAGCTCTACAAGCCCATCTAACTTATCAATCAAGTTCATGGCATGATAGCGTACTGATGGCTTTCTAGCATACTGACAATGTAACTTTTCCCCTCGAAACAAAAGTACATATGAAATATGCACTAAAATTTACATTTCTATTTATTTTGTCTTCTTCCTGATATGATTTAAGGAAGCTAGATAGTATAAAATAGAATTTGCAATGTTTGCATTTGAAATACTTTAGGAGAATGTGTCAGGTTATAACTAATAGATACATAGTGATAGCATATCAAATAATTTCTTGGTTTTGTTTATAGATATAATGTAACCTATATTAGATTGTTTCTAGTTTAATACAATAGTGAAGACTTTAAAATTCAGGATTGATGGACAAACAAAATGTTAAGAAACTAAATAAATCATTTTATTTTTAAGAGATGAACATGCTTAACACCTGATGACAGGCAATTCATAATAACTGAGTTTGTAATTATATTAATAAAACTTTCTGTATCTTGCCATGTGTAAATTATAAAAATGATAAAATCCTATAACTTCCCCCAAAGATTTGGGGAAAGAAAAACCACTTTTCAGCTCCAAATTTAATGATAAATTTAAAGTTAGTAATTTAGTTTCTGACATTGATAACAGAATTTGGGGTTCTGCAGCAACACAAAAGGTTGAAAAGTAAGGCAAAATAGAGAGCGATTGGCTTGCTAAATCAAGGCAATCACTTTGCCCTCCTCTATGTATCAAGAGACAAACCAAGGGACTCTTGAAGAGAATACAATTAGATTGAAAGTGAAGAATGGAAATAATATATCAGGCAAACAGCAACCAAATGAAAGCTACAGTGGCTATACTAATATCAGACAAAGAAGACCTTAAAACAAAAAACTTACTAGAGATAAGGAGGAACATTTTATAATGAGAAAAGGGTCAATCGATGAGGAAGATTAAAAATGTAAACATAAATGAATCTAATAATGGCACTGAAATATATGAAGCAAAATCTGACAGAAACTAAGTGGGAAAATACATATTTTAACAATAATGGTTAGGAATTTTAATACCTCACTTTCAATATGAATAGAAAATATAGGCAGAATATCAACAAAGAAATAGAGACTAAAATAACACTATAAACCAACTTGATCTAGCAGACATCTATAGAACACTTTTCCTGATAACAAAATATAAATTCTCCCCAAGTGCACACAGAACATTCTTCAGGATAAACCATATGCTATACCATAAAACAAGCCTCAATAAATTTAAAAAGAAAACCAGACCTGGTGGCACGCACCTGTAGTTCCAGATATTAGAGGGGCTGAGGTGGCAGGGTCCCTTGAACCCTGCAGTTCAAATCCAGCCTGGGCAATATCATGAGACCCCATCTCTAAAAGTAAAATAAAATAAAATTTTAAAAGATGGAATTTATATAAATTATGTTCTCTGGCCACAATGGAATGAACTTAGAAATCAATAACAGAATGAAATATAAGAAACTTATAAATATATGGAAATTAAACAACCTAAATAAACACTAAGTCAAAGAAGAAATGAAAAGGGAAATTAGAAAATTCTTGGAAAAAAATTAAAATGAAGACATTATATACCAAAATTATGAGATGCTGCTAACGTAGTGCTTAGAGGGAAATTTATAGATATAAATGTTTATATTAAAAAAGGAAAAAAATCGCAAAATAACAAGTTAACCTTGCACTTTAAGACACTGGAAAAATAAGAGCATACTAAACCTAAAGGAAGTAGAAGGAAGGAAATTTTGAAGATTGGAAAGGAAATTAACAAAAGTGAGAAAAGGAAATCAATAGAGAAAAATCAATGAAACCAAAAGCTGGTTCTTTGAAAGGATCAACAAAATTGACAGACCTCTAAATAGATTTATTGAGAAAAAAAGAGAAAAGATTCAAATTACTAGAATCAGAAATGAAATAGGGGGGTGGATTGCTCAAGGTCAGGAGTTTGAGACCAGCCTGACCAAGAGCGGGACCCCATCTCTACTAAAAAATAGAAAGAAATGATCTGGACAACTAAAAATATATATATAGAAAAAATTAGCCAGGCATGGTGGCACATGCCTGTAGTCCCAGCTACTTGGGAGGCTGAGGCAGGAGGATCACTTGAGCCCAGGAGTTTGAGGTTGCTGTGAGCTAGGCTGACGCCATGGACTCACTCTAGCTGGGGCAACAGAGTGAGACTCTGTATCTAAAAAAAAAAAAAGAAAGAAATGAAATAAGGGACACCACTACAGACCTTATCAAGGGATACTGTAACTGTTATATAACAACAATTAGATAAGATTGACAAATTCTTAAAGAGACACAAACTTCAAAACTGACTCAGGAAGAAAAACAATCCAAATAGATTTACAAAAAGTGAAAAGATCAAATCAGTAATCAAAAGACTACCCACAAAGAAAAGGCCAGGCCCAGTTGGCATAGATGCTAAATTCTAAAATACGTTTAAAGAATGAATACTAATTCTTCTCAAACATTTCCAAAAACAGTAGAAGATGGAACGTTTTGCAGCTCATTCTATTATAGCCCATTATATGGATATCCTGACATCAAAGCTATAAAAATATATCATAATAAAAGAAAACTATAAACGAATATATCTTTTGAATATGGGTACAAAAACCTTCAGCAATATACTAGGAAATCAAATCCAGAAATACAGAAAAAGAATTATAAATTATGACCAAGTGGGATTTAGCCCAGGAAAACAGGGTAGGTTTAATAACCATAAATGATACAATATACCATATCAATAGAATAAAAATGAAAATCCACATATTCAATAGACAGAAAAAGCATTTGAAAAAATGCAACACTTTTTCCTGATAAAAATACTCAACAAACTAAGAACAGAAGAAAATTTCTTCAGTTTGATAAAGGGCATCTACAAAAAGTCCACAGATTACGCCTTACTTGAAGAAGAAAGAGTAGATGCTTTCCCATAAGATCAGGAACAAGATAAGGATGTCTACTCTCACACTTCAATTTAGCATTGTACTTCAGGTTCTAGCCATGGCAATTAGGCAAGAAAAATAAATAAAAGATATTCAGATTGGAAAGGAAGAAGTAAAGCTATCTCTATTCACAAATGACATGCTCTTGAATATAAAACATCCTAAGGATTCCACTAAAAAAACTACAGTCAATCGTCCTTTGGTATCTGTGGGGGATTTGTTCCAGAAGCCCTACAGGTACCAAAATCCACACATAACCCCCATACAGAAAGTTGGCCCTCTCTATATTTGGGTTTCCCGTACCACAAATACTGTATCTTTGATCCATGTTTGTTTGCAAATATGTAACTTGCAGATATGGAGGCCCAAATGTATTTATTAAAAAAATCCAGTGGAAGTGAACTCATGGTGTTCAAACCTCTGTATTCAAGAGTCAACTGTATTAGAACTAATAAATGAGTTCAATGACATTCTTATACATGTGTAACAAACAGTCAACAATGAAACTTTTAAAGATTCCATTTATAATTACTTCAAAAGAACAAAATACTTAGGAATAAATTTTAAAAAAGAAGTATAAAACATATTCGATATCACTAAACATTGCTAAAAGAAATTAAAAATCTAGGTAAATGGAAATACATTCATGTTCAAAAATCAGAAGACTTAATATTGTTAACATGGCAATATTGATCTACAGATTCATGACAATCCCTATCAAAACACCAGCTGATTCCTTTGTAAAAACTAACAAACTAATACTAAAATTCATATGAAATTTCAAGGGACTCAGAATAACTAAAACAATATTGAAAAAGAACAAAGTAGAAGAACTCAACATTTTCCTGTTTCAAAACTTACTACATAGCAATAGTAATGAAGACAATACGGTACTGGTATAAGGATAGACGTACAGATAAATGAATAGAATCAAGAGTCCAGAAATAAATCTATGAATCTATGGTCAACTGATTTTTGACAAAGTTGCCAAAACCATTCAATGGGGAAAGAGTGGTCTTTTCAACAAATATGTTGGAAAATCTGAATATCCATGTGCAAAAAAAATGAAGTTAGATCCTTACCTTATATCATATACAAAAATTAATTCAAAATTGATCAAAGACCAAAATATAAGAACTAAAATTCATAGATAAAAATATTGGGCTAAAGCTTCATGACTTTAGATTTGGGAATGGATTTCAAGATATGACAACAAAAGTATAAGCAACAAAGGAATAGATAAATTTGACTTCATCAAAATTAAAAAGTTCTGTGCTCCAAAGAACACTAGAAAATGAAAAGACAGCCCACAGAATGGGAGGAAACAATTGAAAATCACATATCCAATAAGAGAATTCTATTTAGGCTACACAAGTAACTCATACAACTCAATAAGAGAAAGGCCAACAACACAATTTAAAAAATGGCAAAAGACCTGAGAAGATATACAAATGTCCAATAAGCACATCAAAAATGTTTGACATCACTAGTTGTTAGGAAAATGCAAATCAAATCACAATGAGATGTCACTTTACCCCTATAGGACGGCTAGAATCAAAATGTCAGATACATTTTGTCAAATTCAGGTGTTGATGGGAACATGAAGAAATTGGAAATTTCATACACTAAACTGCAGGAATATAAAACAGCACTGTCACTTTGGAAAACATCTGGCTGTTCTTCAAATAGTCATAGAATTACCTTATGACCCAGTAATTCTACTCCTAGGTATGTACCTTAAAGAAATGAAAACATATCCCAACAAAAATCTGTACCTGGGTGTTTGTAGTAGTACTATTTATAACATCCAAAAGGTGGAAACAACCCAAATATTCATTAACTTATGAATCTATATATAAAATGTGGTATATCCTTACATGGAATATTATTCCACCCTAAAAGGAAATGAAGTACTGATACAGGCCACAAGATGGATGAACCTTGAAAACATTCTGCTAAGTGAAAGAAGCCAGTCACAAAAGACACCCTATTATATAATTCCATTTATCTAAAATAGCCATAATAGGCAAATCCAAAGAGACAAAATAGACTAGTAATTGCTTATGGCTGGGAAATCAAGGAAGGTGATGGAGGATATGGGGGACGATAGCTAATGGTACAGTATTTCTTTCTGAATTGATAAAAATGTTCTGAAATGGACTGTATCAATGGTTGCATATATCTGTGAATATACCGAAAACCACAGAATTGCACATTTTGAGTGTTCTGTATGGTATATGAACTACATCTTAATAAAGCTGTTTGAAAAAAGTCTCAATAAATATAATTTCCATTCACCTCTTCTTCTAGTCCTACTCTATTAAACATAAAGAAGCTATCACCTTTAACATGATACGAGCTTAAAACCTGATAATGGATAATATTTGCCTTCAGTAGGAAGATTACAAAGCTATTATGTAGAGATAAAAAAGGATTATATGATCCATGGTAAACATGAATAAATGTTTACCTTCCCTTATAAATATTTGTCTTTTTTTCTGTAAATATTTACCTAACTGTAATGAATGAATATGTAATATGTTATTACAGGTATTTTTAAAGTTCATCATAAAGACCAACTTAACTCTGTAAGTAAACCAAAGAAGGCGCAGATAAATAATGCCTTGTCAACGTGTATCATTTCAAGAAATAACTAATAAATTAAGCTTTAATACCCTTTTTTAAATTTTTACATGGGAGATTGCTTGTCCTTCCTTTTTTGCAAAGCAAACTTACACTAGTAAAACGGATTAAGATCAACAAGATAATAAGAAGACAAAACTATAATCTGAACCATTATCCATAAAACATTGTATTAATACATTATTGTTTTCAAGCTGCCACAGGTCAGATTTATTTCTGAAAAACACAAGAAAACTTGCAATATAAAAGCCAGACAACTTTCATTTAATATTCCTATCTGTATGAACACAAAAACAAGCAGGAAGGGCTAATGAACGTTGTTTTGTAAACTTCACTGTATTTTGAACTAAGTTTTCTTTGTCATGGATTTAAAAAGTGGGAGGGAGTGTTCTCTCCATAGGAATCTCTTTTACAGTAGCAAAACTGATTCTAACAGATACACAAAAATATAATGCAGTACACAAAACTTAGCGATCTATTGCAGGGATAAAATATTCACCAATTAATTATTTCCGGGGCTCGGGGAGGACGTAGAAATCGTGCAGTTTGGAACTGAACTCCTTTCTGATAATTTAGATCCCCTTGCTAGGATACCTGACAGATCCAGCGAAAGTTTCTTACATTAAATTACAGGGACCTTGAAGAGCAGGTTATCAGCAGGAAACAAACAAAAACAGAACCCAGAACCAACCCGTGAAGGAGAGGAGGCACGGCGGCCTGTGCGCAAAATTGAAGAGCCCCAGGATGTGTAACGACCATTTCAAAGGCAGCGGCGGTACACGGCAGAGGTGGGCGAGGAACAAACGCCAGACGTGGCCATGAAGACGCACAGGGACGCTCCGCTTGTCATCCGAGAAGTTAGCCCCCCACTCCCATAGCCCAGACCGGGCCCCTGCGCCCCCGCCCGCCGGCGCCCTACCGCGCTGACCTTCCCCCGGGGCCAGGAGCAGCAGCGCCATCGCCAGCGCCCAGGCTCCGCCGCGCATCGCTGCTGCCGCGGATGGGACGGGAGGGTCGCAGAGGCCCGGCCGCCGGTGCCGAGAGGATGGGGCCACCGCAGCCCTCGGCCCCGCTGTCTCGGGATTTTCTGAGTATGTTCCTGCTCGGCCTTCGATGAAGCTGCACGTCCTTGCTCTGGGGTGCAGCCAGTTTTTTCCACGAATGGTGACGCTGGCCTTCGCGCTGCCCCTCTGCGGCTCCTTCCTCCCAACTTTTCTGCCCGCCGGCCTGAAGGCCACGCCCTACCTGTCCTAGGAGACCGCGGTGCGCCCAGCGCGTCGTGGCTGTGGCTACGTCACCCTGGATGTCACCGGGCAGTCACACGGCCAGGGGTCAAGCCCCGAGGATGTAGTTTGGCACGCAGAGTCTTACTGTCTTAACAGATGCTTTACAAAAACTTGGTAATCCTAGAAACTGCTCAGCTGGACCTTCAATTAAAGAAGCCTTTCAATGTTCTGTTGGAAGGGGCGATACCCCTGACTGCGACTGCAGTTCGATTCCTAACCGCGTAATCTGGGGTGCTGGTTTGCTCTGGAAGCCGAGCTCGCTTCTCAGAAGATGCTCTCGCTGAAGATGCCCAGAGCACTCTCAGTGGTCCAGCGGTGACCCAGTGATCCAGGATCCTTCAGCACATGGCCACACGACTCTCAAGGTTGCCCTGGGGATGGTTTCCAGTCCGTGGAGTTGTATTCAGAGATGTGGTTGCCTTTGAAAAGGGAGAGAATCCTTTCCTCAATTGATTCTACATCTTTTTATGTATCGAAATGAAACCTCACTCTCCTAGTTTTTCTCTGGCTCTCTCAGTCCTCGAGTCCCCCTATCCATCACCTGGGACTTGGCCCTTTTATCTCAGGGGAAAGGAGCCACTGGTCATCAGAGGATAGCGTGAGGGTCCTGGAGGCAGCAGAGTTTAGACCACAATTCCACCTACAGATTTGGAGGATCAAAGTTGGAGTAGGCATAGTGGTTGGTGCCCAAAGACATGAGGTGCCCAAATGCATAAAGAAGTTATTTTTTAAATTGTTTATAATTCTTTTCTTAATATGAAAAGAAAATTAACATTTTAAAGTTTAAAACCTATCTTCAAAAGTATTAACTCATCTTGGAAAATAATTTCTTTTCGTGTATACAATACTTGTGTATAGCCTGTTTTACATGCAGAACAGGCACCCAGTTTTCTAGGATAAAAATAAAGTATAACTTTTTGGTGGGGGTAGGCAGGTAATTTTTATCTTAATGTCTTAACGTCTAATTGGAAGGGCAATTTAATGTGGGCAGGAGGAAAACCAGAGATTTCTTAATGGACAGTATGTCTTTCATTTCAGCTTATAAAGTCCTAGTAAAACTGAGACAAGAAAATAAACATTAATTTTCTCAGTCTATTTATGAAATCACCAGAAATAAAGTAATAGTTACAATCAGGATTAAATCATGGCAGGCCTTTGTGAATTTATTGTCTAGCAGTATCTGTACAAATGTAATAAACTTTTATACTTTCTTGGAGGACAATATCACTTATGTGACTTTATTAAATATTCAATTTAAAGTATTGCAGACTTCATTTTTTTCTTCAGTTTTTGATTAACGAATACCAGTTTATGAGTTTATAAAAGACTTGTACCAAAACCCAATTTTTCTCCATATAAGTGGCAAAAGAGTTAAAATGGCAAAAAAATAAAAGCAATTTAAGAATTTTTTTCAAATATCTGTGGCTTGGATCCACAAGAACGTACTAATTATTAGTTACAGAACTGTGTGAAAAACAAAAAGCATTAAAAATGTTGTTTAACACATCTAGTGAGGTTAACCAAATATTGGTATAAGATTCCTTTCTTTTTTTACATCTTTTTGTTTTTGAAAAGAAGAAAAAATAATGGATGAACGGTTATCTTAATTGTAGATATTTGATGGTACTTGTAAAATGTAGTAAATATCACCGAGAGAAAAATAATAAGAATGTCCAGGGGAAGAAGAAATAAAGCCAAGAGCTAGTAAGTATGATAACTTAAATGAAAAGAAAAGCCTATTAGCAGAAAATTTCAAATGATTTTCTGGGAAAAGGAAATAGCTCTTGTCAGGTTCATTTCCAAAATGATGACGGGCTTATTTCAGTCAAAAAAAAAAAAAATTCAGGGGGAAGAAAGACACAGTTATTAAATGCACAAACCCTGGGATAAGTACACCTGGGCTCTAATCCTAGATTTGCTACCTAATTACGGGCTATGTAACCTTGAACACCACTTTCAACTCCTCTTCATTTTTCTGTACAATGGCAATGATGATGATAATATTTACCCCATACAGTTCAAGAATCAAATGCATGTGTAATCCTGTGGGAGAGTGCAGAAGGTGCGGGTAGAGAGAGAGCACTCAGCATAGTGTCCGGTTCAGAGTAGCTATTAAGAATGAATATAATAGTTTACTGTTATTAAAACAAGAGTGAAATTCTACATAATTATATCTACATAATTGTATCTTATATCTTATTATGTAAAGGTGCACCATTTCTCAGCATTACTCTATCACTGTGTGCTACACAATTTGGAAACCTTACTGAACCACACCTTACTGAACTAACCTAACTGAAAAACACATATTTATATAACGTGTGAATTCCTCATCCTGCGTATGTTTTACTAAATAAGTGAGCTCTTGCTCTCTCTTGCCCAGAAATGTAAAATTGGTAAGATTGTTTGTATGGTTTACTTAGGCTGAACACATGTACATTCAACAGCAGTAGCTAAGATGTACATCAGGTCATTTTGTTCAATGTTTTTTCTTCATAATGTTGATGAGAAAAAAAAAATTGATTCCTGGCTGGGGCCACTGTGTGTGGAGTTGGCACGTTCTCCCCATGTCTGCATGGGGAGTACAGAGGTACTCCAGCTTCCTCCGACATCCCAAAGATGTGCATGTTCAAGTTGGTGTGTCTACATAGTCCCAGTCTGAGTGAGTGTGGGGGTGTATGTGAGCACATTCTTTGATAGGATGGAGTCCTATCTAGGTGGGTTCCTACCTAGAGCCCTGAGCTGCTGGGAGAGACTCTGACCACTCACCCAACCTGAACTGGAGTAAGTCAGTAAATAATTATCTTACTTGTTTTTATTAATCCTTCTTAAATGCATGTATAGCTCACATTTATTTCATTGCTTCATATTAGAAGTGTTCTGGTCTTTATTTAGAAGTTGGTGATGTTTTTGTGACCAGAAATATGCCATTGGAACTTAATTCTTGTTTATATTAATTAGCCTATGGTAAAATTGGTTTCATTTTGTCATTTGGCTTTAAGTCAGTTTCCAAGAACCTACGTTAAATGAGGACTTACTGTATTTGGCTATCGGTGTGGCAAAGCAGTGAAAGCTGATGGGCTGAGAGCAAAAAGAAGCCCAAAATGAAGGTGAGATGAGAAAAAACATGTGAGAGTGATAGAGAAACAGAGAAAATCACACATATGCACAGAAAGTAGGTGAGAGACACACACAGTCAGAGACTAAGAGAGAAATAGAGGCAGACAGACAGGGATGGAGACAGAGAGAAAGAGATAACCTAATTCCTGATGGCTTTCCATTCTGTGACTCCAGAGTTTCATGAAGACTGCCTGTATTTCCTCTCTTGGAGTTCCATGAGATATCCATAACACACTGCCCATAAATTGAGTTTAAATGAATTTGAATTTTGTTGTTGCTGTTTACAACTAAAAGAATATTGTCTAACACCATTAGAAAATATAAGCCACATAAATTATTGAATATTTTGTTGTGTTTATGTATTTTGCTAGAGAAGGAATAGAAAAATGCAATTGTGATTTGTATTTAGATGTTGCAGTCATTTGTTTAGGGGGGAAATAGACTGGTCATTTGACCATACAGAACCTATCCAATCACAGAGTTTTACAGAAAAGTATGCTTTGTTCATCGCAGAGTAAAAGAAAATTAGAAGATAAGCTCAATATGTTTTACAAGAAGATAATTCAGTGCTAGAAAGACTGGAATACCATAGCAGCTTTTCTTTTCAAGTAGCCCGATGACCACCTATAAATGATTAATAATTTCATTGTGGTTATTTACAGTGATTGTAAATGAAAATAGCGACAGGAAAGATAGAGGTAAGATTTGCTGGTATTGAAGCCCAACAAGTAATTGCCAAATATACCCCATCTTTAATCCTCATTCATAGGCTGATTTTCCTCTCCTGTTTCCTCTTACCCTTTCCTGCATTTACAAGTTTCCTATTTTTTAAATGGTTTAAAAATAAATGAGAAAAAGCTGGATGAGAATGAAGACAGGGACAGCTTTAATTTCATTAAACATATTAATGAAGAAATTTAGTTGGTAGGTAAAAAATGGATGCCCTAAAATCTACATTATAAAAAAAAATGTTTTACCCATGATATATCTACTTCATATAGATCTAGAATTATAAAAAGTTATAATTTTTAAAAGGGAAAGAATTATAGCAAATCTTTTATAAAGTTGTCCCTAGAAAGCCCTTCTAAACGTGGTTCCTTCTTTAGTCTTCCCTGTTCTGGAAAATGGCACTATTCAGTACTATTCAGTATCCTTCATCACAAACTAGGAAGAAGGTGTGAGGCCTCCTCCCTTCTCTCTCATTCACTGCTCCACCTCTGCATTCAATTCGTGAACAAGGAGTCCAAAGAAACCTCAAAACCATGTATTGCTCTTTATCATCTCTGCTGCCCTGCAGGTCCAAGCCACCCCCATGGCTCACATGTATCCTTATGCTTTAATCAGGCCCCATCCAATCCATATCTCTGCCATACAACAGCCATGGTGAGCTCTCAAACTGTAAATCACACCATGTCTCTGCCCTGAAATCTCTCACTGGCCTCCCATCAGTAATGGGTGAAAATACAAGTACTATTACCTATAACACCTGGCCTCTGCCTACCTCTGCAAATTCAAATGCATGTCTTCTCTCCCGCTGCCACTCTCCCTCCTCAGCTCTCCACACGTGCTATGCTTCGACTC